TTTAATGTTCGATTTTATTTTCATAACGATATGAGCCAAATAATATCAATCACTATTATCTCCTTTTGAATATTATGCATAAAAAACGATACTTTTTTCTCGCAACAAAAGTGATAGCGCAATACTATTTATGGAAATTCAAACGCTACTTAAATATGCTGATTGGGCATAAAAAATTGTGCCAGAATCCCCGGAAAATGCACAAATTTTCACATATTTTTATGATGTTTGTCTGATTATATGTAATACACAAGGGAAAGAGAGTTGACGAAAAAAGATTTAGAATCAATTAGAAAAGGAAATGAACCAAAGTAAGAATGTAATTAATTTGATAGAGCATAATTTGCTCTACAATATTCATTAATCAGTTTTATTTCCACCTTTCATTGCAAAGGCAATAGTTGTTGAAAACATCTATTAGTAAGTGTTCATGATCTATTAGTGGATAATGTTATTTCTATGATGGGTCACACTAAAGATTAGTTAAATTATTTGGATGTTTATCGCATGAAAATAAATAATCTATGGAGAAAAATAAGACATTCTTCACATTGGTTATTTTGATTGTCTATGAATTGCTGTGCACCGATGAACACATCGTTGTTCAACAGGGTCTCTGGATTATAGATCAAGCGCATGAATCTTAAATGTACGTTTAGTTGTAGTAGTAGATTGTGAAGCAGTAGATCAGCATTTTCATGGTGGATGCATAAACAAGATTCTTGAGGTGTTCCTTCTCTCACCCATTGAGGTCTTAATGAAAAGAATTTTGATCGACTTAGTTCCATGTTTGGATACTTCATCTTAAATTGTTCAAATGTTTTTCCAATGGTCAGATGAAGAAAACGTATAGGAATTGGAGTTCTAAGTGGTGATGAATGGATGCCTTGTTTCTTATAAGATGTTTCTCTACTAATTTCATCACTGGTGTAGAAGTTGTAAACTGCTAACTCGATTTGACTATCGAGTGGTTTATTTCCCCGTCGATCTTCAGAATTTGACAAAACTCCTGTAGTTGAACGTAGTTGTATTGATTGACGAGCATGATGTTCAGAACCATCCAACCAATTAGCAATTCGATCTCGACCCCAAATAGGTGGCAACATAGTCATAATTCTTTGTTTTTCTTCGTTGTTACTAATGGTATAAAGTTCCCGTAAACGATACAGAATCCAAGCAGCATCATCAATTGAAAGATTGAGTGAAGACAACATTTCAGGTTCTTCATTACGATGAGAAGATGGTAAAAGTGTATTGCTCCACTCCCGCAGTTCAAAGTACGCCTCGTCTACAGCATTTGAAATTTGATTCCTGTTTCGGCTATAAAAAAAAAGAATTTTATATTTTTTGACTTCCAAAGTAAAGAACTCACAAGTCATCGATTTTCTTGACATTTACAAAATTGAAACACCTGATTTAACTTCATTTTTGTATCTTCTTCTTCGGCACGTATATAATCATCATCCATCGGAGAATCTTGTTGATTATTTGAACCACTCTCAGGGCTGTTGTAGTTGGGACTTTCTTGGCTATGATCAAAATCCATGTGTTTTTCTTCATCAATCATTGAAGGATTCGCTTCTTTTGTAAAACACCATGAGCAGAAATAATCACCTTTTGAAAGCCGTTTAGAAGATCCATTTAAAACTGCTTCATTATGGTTGTTGATAAAATCAGCCAATTCCTCGTTGATTGATCTTTTTCCTTTCAGATGTGATGGTTTCAAACCGGTTTTCCAAAAACGCTTTTTCCCATTTGGTAGCACTTCATCATGACAAGGATGAGCACACCAAATTTGACATTTATACGGCATAATTAATAATGATTTTCACAAGCAAGAAAAAACAGTGAATAATGTAAGAAAGACAGATTAGAAGAGAAATTAATGAATCATATTTTTGCTGACGAATGGGAGATTTTCACTAACATAAGAAACCTCCATTATGTACAAAAAAAAGACTTATCTATTGATATCTAATCCAATCAAAACATCTTTGGCTTCAAATGAAAGCTATCCCTAACAAATTTTATTTTTTGAAGACGTCTTAAACGAAAGAAGCTAAAAACATCTATCCACTAATAGATCATGAACACTTACTAATAGATGTTTTCAACAACTATTGCCTTTACAAAGAAAGGTGGAGATAAAACTGATTAATGAATATTGTAGAGCAAATTATGCTCTATCGAATTGATTACATTCTTATTTTGGATCATTTGCTTTTCTAATTAATTCTAAATCTTTTTTCATCAACTCTCTTTCCCTTGTGTATTACATATGATCAGACAGACATCATAAGAATATGTGAAAATTTGTGCATTTCACGGAGATTCTGGCACAGTTTTTTATGCCCAATCAGCATATTTAAGTAGCCTTTGAATTTCCATAGATAGTATTGCGCTATCACTTTTGTTGCGAGAAAAAAGTATCGTTTTTTATGCATAATATTCAAAAGGAGATAATAGTGATTGATATTATTTGACCCATATCGTTGTGAAAATAAAATCGAACATTGAATAATTTATTAGCAAAATGATCAGCGTAAAAAGCTCTACAAGTACTGAAAGTTACACTGAATTTGAAAATGGTGATCGAATCAAGTGGTCAGATTTGACGAATATATTTATCAAAATTTCGCTGAAAAATGGTAGTCTAGCGTCTTGTGGGCCGCTGTTCCTTTCTCAAATTTGAAGTAGGGGCTAAACTAAACAGTGCATCTTGTAGAGCATGTTTTGCTCTATCAAACTGCTAATACCACCAGTCTGGTTTATTCCAACTTTCTGATCGATTTTCTCAAACACTGTTCTTCTCTAGTGCATTACTTAGGGACCTAATGGACCTATAAAATTCGTCAAAAGTATTTTAATTCCTATGGATTGTGATGCAGTTTTTCACGAGAAATCTAAATATGTGGTTGGTTCTAAAATTCGAGTGAAAAAAGTGAGACTTTCGTCGCTATTTTGATAAAAATGCAGATTTTATTTTTTCTGCTTTAAAAAAGTGTATTTTTCGTATTTGACCTGTATCTTCACGAAAACAGAGTTTATTTTTTGAAAAATTTTATTACCAAAATGATCAGCGCAAAAAGCTCTACAAATCCTGAAAGTTTCAACAAATTTGGACGTGGTCGCCAGATGAACCTGGTGACATCCGATGGAATGACCCATAAAGAATTGTCTTCTTCGTATTTTGTAAATATCTCGCTTGTTTTTTGATAGTTTGATTTAATTTTTTTTTCAAAAGATAGCCTGTATAATTCTCTAAAAAATCCAATGGAAAGTGACCATTGAAAATGCTTGTTAAAAAAATATATCTGATCAGCAGTTCTACACTCCAAAAAGATCCAGTTTCACAGAGATCATTTTTCACAAAACTAATTCTCATCTGTGGAAGAAATAGACTTCTTGCCATTTTTAGTTATTATTTCAAAGAGGTATTTTGATCGGATTTTGTAGAGAATTACACATGCTATCTTTTGAAAAAAAATTAAATCAAACTATCAAAAAACAAGAAAGATATTTACAAAATACGAAGAAGACAATTCTTTATAGGGAAAAAACAAAAAATGCATTTGACAAAATTTTTTCAAAATCGTTATCGATGTAGTTCTCTCTTAAAGTTCATGCAAATTTAATACACTTTGTTTTTGATTGATAGTTTAGATGATGCTCTTCAAAAATGTATGTTAAATATCTTTCCATGGTTGAATACGACAGAGATAAATCGAAAACAAAAAGAGGGTCGTTACTTATGAAACACCCTTTATTATACAGTGTTTTTAGGCAACTAATAACTGAGAGTGTGGTCAAAGCAAGACTCAAACAACAATTAAAATCTTTTCAAAATGCATTGAATAAAGCATCAAAGTGTTCAGGACATTTTTCTCTATTGCTTTATATATGATTGAATGGTATTAGTAACCGAAATTAAAAGGAGCTAATTTCCAACTTTAAACGCCCCCGTTCTTTTCTGGATATGTATACTAGCGCAGTTACTCCACATTTTTACCTCCTCACGAGTATCTTTCAGTGTGCTAGAAATTATACGGGAGCCCGACTGTTGTGTGCAAGACAATTATGTGCAGACAATTGTGTGTTAGATGTTTGTGTGCAAAATGAGTGTGTGTATGTGCAAATAAATATTTTTGTCAAAAAAAAAGTGAAAGACAATGAAGTAAAGCAGTGAACAAAATAACAGAGATCAATCAAATAAATAAATCAATGAAGAATCATAACATGAATGTATGAGCGATCGCTTTTATTTTTTCTATATTATCATCTGTAGGATTTTCTAAAATCTATAAAATTCTGAACGCTGTGTGTTGAGTTTGGATTCGGTTTGGTTTTGGTACGAGATCTGCTACTATGATAGTGAATTTTAAATGACTGTAGATGCATATCTTCTATTATTCGCACTCGTTTAAATTCTTTCAAGGAAAATTGATCGACGTGCATGTACATTACCGTCCGTTCTCATAAGTGTCTTACACACCAGAGATGGACAAGCCGCGGTGTAAAACGGCCCCGCCCCACCCTGCCGGCGCGGCGGTGCTAAATCTTGACGGGGTGGGACGGTGACGGTGCATGACGAAAATTTCGCGGTTTCCCCGCCTTTGTATAATCTTGATTTTTTAAATATACTCAGACCTTTAGAGACATCTTTTACAAATTTAAAATTTTTTTCACACAAAACTAATCAGTAAAAAAGTCTTGTTAGCGCAGCTCCAGAGGAGCTAAAATGTGGAACTCATATATTTTTTTTTTAATTTTTTGTTCTGATGCCTTATTTTTAAATTGTAAAATACCTTTTTTCCGAATACGTATGAAATCATTGATATATTATATAAAAACTACAGCCTTTTATGCGCTGCTGCTGAGCTCTGTAATGGTGGAGGTCAGGGTTGCCAGATCGAAAATTAAAAAATCACAAAAATTTTTCTAAAAATTGGGAAAAGTCGAAATTTTTGTTCTCGAAATCGGAAGAAAATCAGAAAGTATTTTTCCATGCTTAAATAACTAGTCTATATATTTTCGATAACTTTAATATCCTTTATCTTTCTTCTGTTCATCTTTTCGAAGCAATATCGGAAATGATATTTCATAAAGAATTAAAGAAAATATCGATTACACAATTTACTCATGATTGAGAAATCTACATAAGTAATTTGAACAGGATCACATTATTTTTATCAAAAATGTTATAACCAACTTGACGAAACAATAGAATCAGTATTGTAAATTCATACACACGCATGCATTTCACAAAACTTATGCAAAAGAAAACTAAGGCTTATTCTGTATAATGTTCGTTTTTGTTCATACTTTTTATTAGCTTGAATACTCTTCAAAATATCAGGTTGAGGTAACAGATATTCATAAAAATGTCCTCAAGTATAAACAGAACTCATTCCGATTTTCAATTCTGCAACAGCTAAATTAGTACTCCTACGATTATGATTAGTTTTATGATATCTGTGATGAATCAAAAAAAGGCTCAGAAACGAAAATATTCTTAATTAACACTATAGTAAACGAACAGAGAAAGTTAGTTCATCGTGATAGAAAACTGGATCTTAATTGTCTGTAAAACATCATAGTTTTATTGGAAGATATGCTTTCGAATCACTGTCGTGTGATTTGTTGAGTTCATGACGCTTCACTACCCGATAACTACAGTGAAATAGATCGCTATATATGTGTGGTATCGTGTCATAGTTAAACTATTCTAGAATATCTTAAGAACTTGAATTCCCAAATAAGACTTCGAAAACCGGAGGAAAATTAGGAAATCTGAAGGCGATTGGAAAAATAGGTTAAAATCGGAAAAATCGGAACGTCAGAAAGTCGTTGGAGAAACTTTCAAAAAAACACCATTTTTCCTGCCGTATCGGAAGATCTGGCAACCCTGAGTGGGGTGTCAGTAATGGAGGGAGGAAGGGAGAGAGCCGCCAAGCCTCGAACTTAAAAGTTACAAGCACTATTTTCTTCGAAAATATACGTGAGTTCCACAAAATGAGTGGTTGTATTATAATTGCCTTTTATTTTCATATATTTATTTTTTTCTATTTCGGAACGATGTTTATGCATTTAAAATATGCCTCTTTATCTCATGAAATGAAATAGCCATTATGAAAATTTAATGAAAAATTTGTCAAGAAATAGTTTTTTAAAACATATTTTTGACGGGGCTGGGCGGGACGGTGGCGGTGCGGAATTTTATCAGCGGGCGAGACGAGACGGTGACGGTGCGACTTTTTTGCTGACTCGTCCATCTCTGTTACACACAGCTGTCTGTTCTCATAATTGTTTTTCACACAATTGTCTGCACACAATTGTCTTACACACAACAGTGATAGATCCGAATTATAGAAGTATCTTATGGATGCTAAATACAGTCTTAACCTAGTGACTAGGATTTCTATCATATGAAGGTGACCTATAAATGCTTGCTTAAGAACTAGATGCTACTGTCTGTTCAGTATCAGGAGGAGTTTTTAAAACTTTCGCTTCTGCGATTGACACAAACAAAGAGTTTTCTAGTGTATGTATGTATGTATCAGCTAATTTGGGTAAACTTTGAATTTAACCTCAGAAAAACTACGACGTCAATATCGTTGGATTTTATTCTGCTTTTGATGTCCTTGTAAATTGCTGATGAACATGAATTTTGACCAAACCATTTTCAAAAAAATTGAGTCCTTATTCTTTTGAGGATTGTTTTCTAAAAACTTCCCATAATAGGCTCTTCCATTAATGAATGAACTTTATTCATAATAAAACTTTTAACTCAAAACAATACGTCTTTAGTTTTTGCATGAGTCATACGACGTCAACAAAAACTCCCATTTCCTGTAAATTTAATATTGTATAACTTATGTGTAGGATAAGATAGATGTCGGACTATTCTACTGAAGCAAGGGTTCCTATATGTGTACGCATATTAAAAATCGTATCCCTATATACTATTTTGTTGCCCAGAAGAGAAAATTTTGGAATAGTGGAAAGCCTATTTATATTTATGTCGATATGAATATGGATATGAGTGTTTGAATGTTGATCGGATATGGATGCCGATGCGGATATAGAAAACACCAGCATTCTGTACCTACATACATCACATCCACCATATTCAGACTCATATCCAGACTCACAGAATTTTGCACTCGTGTTTTTTTTTATTATGTTAGTGTGTAAAAGTTGACTAGCTGAATACGTGTGTACAACACCATTCAATACTTTGATTCACTCATCATTCGTTGCTATTTCTGCAATACAAATTTTTTGAAATCCATTGTGAAGCGTTTTTTTGCGATGGGATTTTTTGATTTACATGAACCAGAAGATGGCCGCGATCATTTTTTTCTGTATGCGATGGTTATTCTTCCATTTATCTCTACTAGTTGCTATGCCTTCGATGCATGGTATAACTATTTTTATCATCCTAAAGAACGTACCTACATTGGCCTATTATCCACGATTTTCATTATCTTCTCCTATTTACAATATTGTGCACCTATTCGATCACGACGCTTGTTGGCTATCTATCATATTCTTCTGTGGACTGTAACCGAAACAGCTACACTAGGTTACTTGTTCTATTATATCAAAGAACGCGAAAAATTCAAAATTTTTATTTATGTTTGCTTTTTCATACTTGAGACTTATTTTACGATTGGCCTTCTGTATGCTCGTGTTGTAAACGATCTAGATCCAAATATTATCGTCGAAAATAAACATCTCTTCCATTTTATGTCTCGGTTAGAAGTTCTTCTCACTATCTTTATACCAGTATTCATGAATACCGGATACACGTCGTTGACACGAAATACAGTCGCTTTTTTCCTTCTATTTGATTTTTTCTCAGATTCATACGCTCAATTTCAAGGTGTTTGGATGAAATCAGCTCTGTATTTATTTGTGACCACTGTCACAGTGACTGTCGCTACCGAATGGCTCTATTTCAATGACCACAAAGAAATTTATGAAGAGATCTCTTTCCTCGCTGAAATCATTTCTACCATTCTATGTGACAGCATTATAATACTACAATTTTTTGGATTCCATTTTAAAACGGAAAACATACACCGTATTTTCCAACAAGCTATGGTTGAGTTGCAGGTAAAACAAACAAAATATGGAAGCAAAATTCAAATAAATGTCCAGGATTCAGAATATCTTAATGAAAATCTCCTGAGCGTTACCAATCATTCAACCATTGAAAGCAACTAGAAGATGTTGAAGACAATAATGAAATCGACTTTGTTTTTAGTGTTTTTGAGATTCTTTGTAGCTTCTCAATTAATTTCTCGGATTATTTTTAAAACATATCATCTATTATAGCAACTAATTAAGTTTGAAATAGCGTAGAGCAAAATTGATGTCTCGCTTCATCGACTTGTTTTGAAAATCTTAGCGAAGTCATTCTCTCAATGAAAATAAACAAGAAAAGCGGTGAGAAGCTTGCTTCTGAAGAATGAATTTTCTCATGTCTCCGATAAAAATACTATTCAAATGTAGTTCCAAAATTTGGCTGCTGCGAGAAAACATCATTAGAACTAGTAAAATTTGTCATAGTTATTTATACAAATAGACACAAAGGTAAGTAGATAAATCTAATATGATTGATGTAGACACTGATACAAAACTCTTCGCATGAAACTTTATTTTTTGCGACACCTTTGTTAAAGTAGTCTATGAATTGTTTTAGTAAAAGTGTTTTCAGAAAATCAGAAAAAATTGTGGTGTTATATCTTCTGACAGAAATTTTTTTGGGTATATTTAAAAAATCGCTTTTTATCTCATATGCAGCAAGAATTTTTCACACCATGAATAAATGAGACATTAATGTATTATTTCTAACTATCCAACAAACATATTGTTGTATGTGTCGCTCATCATTCATCATACTGATGGCACTAAATGCTTTCTAAGTATTTATCCTATTTTCCTATTTTCTCTCAGTTCATGCGAAAGATAAAAACAGAGTGTGAAAATGTATTTTTCACAGTAGAAGTATCCTAAATGAATTTTGTTCTGTATCACTATATCATCAATCTTAAAAGATAATTTAACTTCTTGAATAAATTTTAGGAGCATTTGTATTCAGCATGCTTGACTATTGCAAGATAAGTTTTATTTTTAATTGATCAAAGTTTTACTGTAGATTTTAATGCCCAATGAATATTCCATTCAGATGGAGTAGTTCCATGTTCAAAATTCTTCTAGAGGCTTAAATTTACCAATTTGAACTTTGGCTAACTGGATCTGACTTTCATGTATTTTCTTACCATTTTACAACCTCTGAACATTGAATGTGAATCAAAAATTAATGAACAGAAAATTTTGCTGACTTTATTCCAGAGTTGTAACCGGCCAAGAAGAATTAGACCGGTCCGGCCGGTGACCTACCGGTCTAAAAAAATGTCTAGACCGACAAAAAAACGGCGATTTCATAATGCTATTCAGTGAACAAAATTTTTATCATGGTAACGATAGGTACCTATACGAGTTCTTGTTATATGTTGTGAAGATAACATAGCTCAGTGCATTTTTTTAATATCACGAGACTAAGCTAGTTGGCAATGAAGTAGATTCTTTATATTAAAAATTTAAAGAACATTTTTCAAAATTGAATTCCATTGTGCGAAAAATGATGCCCTTCCATGCAAATTTCAATACTAGTTTAAACCAATTTCGAAAGATCATCATTTTCTAATGAATTAAATCAATGTGAACCACCAACAATAAATTTTAGTTCAGCATCTTTAATTTTTGATTTATATTTTTCTGGTAATCCTTTCTTGTGAAAAGCAAATTTGGGTTGAATAATAGATGTTGTTGCTTGATCATTTTGCCTTTGGTTATCAGTTGACTTTACTTTTGGTTTCCATTTCCACTGTTTTAAATGATCATGTATACCATTTAATCCAAAATTCTTTCGTTTACCATCAATATCCCATTCGGAATATGTTCTATAGGCCATGTAGCAATGATTATATGCTGCCCATCCTTCCAATAAATGAATTACATCTTTCTCATTTTTTTTCCAATTAAAGATACATCATTGTTCCATATTGAATTGTTACCTTTTTCGTTTGTAACGCATTCAAAAACTTTGAATTTTAATTTGTATTGAATTTGTTGTACTGTAAGATCATCCGTATTCATAATTAAGATGAAAATAAAAAATTATATTATTTTATATAGTTCTGTTGAATTCGAATTTCTTAAAATACGACCAGAATGCAGATGTAGATAAATTGTTTAATCGCAGTCAGTTAATAACACAAATTAATAATTATAAATACATTTAATGTAGCTTGAAGATTTTATTCTTCGACGTTAGTACAACGATGAAACTGAGTGTGTTTGTTGAAATTGTTGACAATTATTCAATATATGGTTCTATTCATACAATTATATGTAGTATTCTTTTCTCTTCTTAATTTAATCACACTTATGTAGCACCATGTCAAAACAAAATTAGATTAACTTCAGAAACAAAAATAAATAAAAACATAAATGCATTACATGTGACAGTTCATTTGTTTTTTAATAGTAGATAGTTTTATTTTTTATTTGGAAAACATTCAGAAGAAAAAATTCTTAAACTTTTGTTAAAAAAATTGTACTCATTTTCTTTAAAAATGCATGAAGAGGCATGCAGTGCTCTTCTAAAAAAAGAATTAGAATATTTTGTCAACAATCTGCAACCGGCAAAAACCGGTAAATTCCGGCCGGTTGAATGATCTCCACCGGTTTTGCCGGACCAGTTACAACTCTGCTTTATTCAAGATTTCATAAAATAAATTTCCATTGATTTTTCAAAATAAAGTCTTAGATATAAAAGAAACCAGTAGGCATCGATGAATAGTAATTATGGTTTTCACATTAACATAACTAGGCATGTACCGAGCTTTTTTTCGTTACTTTCAAACACTTTTAGTTCAAAACCTTCAGCTCTTAAGTGAAAAGCTGAATCATGAGGCCTACCTTATCAAAAGATAGACCAAACATCGCTCTACAAAATGAGACATACCCAAGCCCTGTGCAACAACGTCTTCAGTTTTTATAGGAATTTTACAAACAGACCCCGACCGAGCCTGACCGAGCCCGAGCCCCGAGCCTANAACAACGTTTTGATGAAATTCATTTTTCCACTGATCCCTGAGGGGAACCTCAGCTAAAAATATGACCGAAAAAAAAAGTCGAAAGAAAAATTTAGAATACATATCATTCGACTCAGATTTTTGTACTGATTACGAATATGGCATATTTTTGGGTACAAAGTCGGACTATTCTAAGCGAAAACCGTCGACAATAGATCAAAAAAGCTAAAAATCAGGTGGGTGAAACCAGTAGCTCTAAGAATTATCCTATGGGCCCACGTTTTTAAATCCTGAAAAATAGCTGGTTTTATAGTGTTTTAAAATCTCTATCGAACAGAAAGTGAACGAAGTTTGGACGCAGTTTTATTGATGCAATAATCGAGTGACAAATGTTATATGCATGCATAATATAAGGCCAAAATTCTCTAAGGTAAGATATGCATCCAATCTCTTAAAACCAAAAAGGTTGTTTCAAATGAGCGGTTCTATTAGCAAATTGTAGCCTAGACAACGGCCTATCAGAATAACTTGTAAACAGAATCCAACTCAATTCGTTTTGTTTCAAACAACCGCTCACACTGATGACCAGGATTACTGGTGAAACGCCCATTTCGCATGTACTAAAGCTAGATTCGGTTTACACTTATAACTCATTCAAAACATCTCAGATTTGGCATCAAAATGATCGTGAGTTCATGCTCTTTCATTCTATATATGATTTAATTAGGTTTGCTCATAATAATCAAAGGGGCCAAAATGTTGTCTTATGCGCCCCCGTCCTTTGCAGCAATTTGTGAAATCTGGTCAGACTTTCAAGACAATTTGAAAACATGCTATATACCAGGGGATTATGTTACAATTGATGAACAGCTATTACCATTTAGGCAAAAAATGCCCATTTCGCCAATTTATCCCACAAAAACCTGATAAATATGGTTTAAAGTTCTGGTTATGTGTTGATGTACAATCATGTTATGTATTGAATGCATTTCCTTATATTGGACGACAACCAAATCAAGCAAGACAAACTCAAATAGGTACCGGTGTCGTTTTAGAATTGCTTAGACCATTATATGGTTCAAATAGAAATGTTACAATTGATAATTTCTTTACAAGTATTCAATTAGCCAAAGAGCTTCAAATGAAGAATCTGACTCTTATAGGAACATTTCGAAAAAATAAACCAGAAATACCTATAGAATTCCAGTCAAATAGAAAACGTGAAATTGGTTCTTCGCTCTTTGGTTTTTATGACGGCCTAACTTTAGTTTCATTCGTACCCAAACAAAATAAAGCTGTGTTACTACTTTCTTCAAAACATCATGACAGTAAGATTGATATAAAAACTGGAAAACCAATTATTATTTTGTATTATAATAAAACAAAAGGAGCTGTCGATACTGTTGGTCAAATGTGTCATAAATATACGGTAAAAAGAGACTTATTCACATATATATTTCTGCATTTTATTTTTTGCAGGTCAAAAGAGGTACAAAGAGGTGGCCTCTTTGTGTCTTTTATGGGATGATAGACATGGCGGCTATAAATGCTCTAATCATATGGAAGGCGAAGAATCCTCAATGGAATCAAAATAAAAAATATCAACGTCGATTATTCCTGGAAGAATTGGGCCTTAGCTTAGTGTCAGAACTTTTGGATTTTCGGTCAAAAACGTCGAAATTTCTGAATACAGATATTGAAGATGCATTAGCTATTGTTGGTTATCCTATAGTGAAGAATGTACAAGAACTGATTGAAAATTCTACTCAATCAAAACGAAAACGATGTTCGATTTGTGAAACCTCCAAGGACAGAAAAACTTCACTTCAATGTTGTCGTTGTTCCGAATTTGTTTGTAATGAACATTCTGTAAAAGTCATCTATTGTACCAACTGTTCAAATAAAAAGAGAAGATCATGTTAAAAATGTTTTCACATATTTTTTTAAAATTTTAATATTTTTTACCAACAAACATAAAGTTTCTGACTATTGGGATATACTTTTTATCCTTCCTCCGCTTGGAACATTGATGCAAGACTAAAAAAAGTACGTTAGAAGAACATATATTGTTAGTATAGTGCTAAAAAGAGGCTGGTAGTACTAGGGTTAAATAAATAAAATTGAAATCTAAAATAGTCGGGAAATGGTTTGGCTTGAATCTGTGAGCACTTAACGAAATAAAATACTATATATATATGCTTACAGTTCAATTGTTCTATTGTGATCTACTGAAATGCATGAAATATACATATATCACGATGTATAAAGATTTGCAGTTGAACTTCGATTTTGATCAACCTAAAAGAAAAAAATGAATATTCGATAATCTGAGAAAAACACGCACACCGTCTCTAAGTACATACTTTGTTGAGCTAGGTATTATTTTATGCTTCACTATTCGATTTTGAATGAAATTGTTTTTGAAGTATCTATTTTAACTATCAAAATTTCGGGTTCACTAGGAGCAAAATTTTCAAATGTTTATTATCAAGGAACAGAAATTTATTAGAACAATCAAAAATCTTTTCAAAAACTGCTGAGCAATGCGGAAGAGAGCAAACTTCTGTAGCTTAAATGTCTCACAATTGACGAATTATCTCGATAAATTAATACTTTAAAAAAGTCGAAAAACGAATAAATGAATTCCTTCTCTTACAACAAAAACAAAAAATGCTGTAGTCCTTTTATGATGCGAGAAGAAATAGTGAGATATGTAAAACACTTTATGTTGCCATTGTGAAGGTGTCGTTATTGTCGGTGTCGTTTAGGTCGGAGATTTCTCGTTATTTTTTGTTTTGATGAATCAATCCCTGGAGACAGTAGCTCATAATTATGTTTTTCTTCTGCTTTGTGTTTATGATTTGATGGTTGTTGAAATGCTTTTGGTGCATATGTTGTTGGTTGAATTGATGTTGCCATTTGAAGTTTAAAAGATACATTTTGTTCTTCATTGTTTTCACGTCTATCACTTAAATACGTATCATTAATTTTTGTTTCTTTCAGCAATGCAGCAGATGATCACGATGAAGGATTTCCTTGAAGTTGAATACTTTATAAAATGTTGGAATGAGATTTGATTGTTGTTGCTCATCATTCATACAACAAACATAAAAATCTAGCTGCAGTACGATATGTTGAAAACGTGAGATTTATCAAACAATACACACCAACAACTAGAGCTAAAGATTGTTCAATAGAATTCGATGAGCAAATGGCGATCCAACCCACATAGATTTTGATATCATTTTCTCTAATTACCGTTGTTGGTTGGAAAGTAGCTTCTCAAAACAATCAGAAGATCAATCGTGGTAAATTAAAAGCATAAGTTTTACAGAGAATATATGTAATAAGAACTTCTTTATATTGTATAATGAGACATTATGTCAAAGTGGAACATAAGGAATTTTTCATGTGCCAAAACTTTTGATAGAAAATGAAATTTATCGGAACATGTATGTTGTTCCTGTATAGTAAGGGTGTGGCTGTGGGAGTGGGTGGGTGTGGACGTGGGCGTGGGATGCCGATGTTTGTGAAGGTGCTTGTATGCTATGTCTTCATCTACACCCAAACCGATCCACACCCACTCACACCACACACCCACACCCACACCCACACCCCACACCCACACCGACACCCCACCCCACCCCACACACCCACACCCACACCCTACCAATTTCTTCAATTAATCTTTGACGCACGCGCATTTACCTTGACAAATCAAATTAAGGAAAGGCATAAGTTGACCTTAGTACAAAGAATCATGCTGAAAACGCTTATAATAATTGAAAAAATGGCCTCTCTTACAAGGGAAGGTCCCCAGGTGTGAAGCGTCGTTTCGAATCTGGCATTGACCATTTTGTAGAGCTCAGTGAGTACACCACATGATATAAACGGTTCATCCCGATACTGAACTTTTAAGGGAATACGAGGTATCATAAAGGGTATTTTATAATAACCAGAAATAAATTGTTAATGGTATTTTTCATACTTCGTCTTGATGCAGTGGGCTGGAGCCGTTATCACATGTATATCTAATCAAGATTTTTTATTCTTAAAAGTTTCAGCTCTCTAGCTATAATCAATAGTGAAATACATCGACAAGATCGGAATATATAAATTTTCATACTCGATTTTTGGATTCGACAGTGAAAATAACGCAGCGATTGAGCACGAAAATTTATGTATTTCGATCTTGTCGGTGTATTTCACTATTAATTATAGCTAGAGAGCTGAAACTTTCAAGAATAAAAGATCTTGATTATATATACATGTGATAACGGCTCCAGCCCACTACATCAAGACAAAGCATGAAAAATACCATTAACAATTTATTCCTGGTTATTATAAAATACCCTTTATGATACCTCGTATTCCCTTAAAAGTTCAGTATCGGGATGAACCGTTTATATCATGTGGTGTACTCACCGAGCCCTACAAAATGGTCAATGCCAGATTCGAAACGACGCTTCACACCTGGGGACCTTCCCTCGTTAGTGATTAAAACGAATCGAAATTTAGAAACATGTCTGACACTCGTCATGCAATGACAGTTAAACACGGAAAATATAGTTAGAACCCTGTATAATTTAAGAAGCTAAAGATGCAAACTTGGTCACGTATGATAAAAAACAAGCTTCAATTATTGAAGTCAATAAATGTTTTAAATGAAAACTTTGTAAAACAAAGTCTTTTGTTCTTTTCTATATCGAAGTACTTATTTAGGACAAATCATTTGTTTTCCAAAAGTATACTCTACAAAAAAGCGGTTAGCGCAATCCCTAACGGGATTAAAAATGTGAAACACGATGTAGATGCTACAGCCGATGTTCCAAAAGCTATTTTTTTTACGCATGTTGGAGTACATTCCTTCATAATGGTTTACCTTACATTATAGACATTGGACAGGGCTATATTCCATTTATGCTTCAATCATATGTTAGTTATGCATTATTCCTGATATTTTCTTGTAGTTTTCTATCACAGTTTATAATGACCCCTAAGCCATGTCTTTCGCGATCTGTGATGGATCCAGCACCTGTCTGTCACAGTCTGTGATGGATCCAAAGCCTGTCTCTTGAACGTCCGACGACTGTTATTATCGACTCTTAAAGTCTGTTATGGAGGTTGCCTGTAATGGAGGGAGAGGGGGGTCCTACGTTGCTATGGTCTATAATGGGAAGGGAGAAGCCGCAAAAACTCGAACTAAAAACTCACATTCACTATTTTCTTCAAAAATATATGTGAGTTCCACGAAACTATACAATTTCACACGATAATTATATTATTTCTTACCGTAAGACGACGAAAATACATATTTATTTGTATAATGGTTAATTTATGGATAGAAAAATAAACAGAAAATAGAAAAAAAGATGACGAACACTTACATAAACATGCCAGTTCATAGCTAATGGATTTTTTCTTCATTGTATGATATGCATTTTTTTTAATGTTATTTGTCATATGAATTTATAAGGAATATTCTAAAAAATCTTTGAAATAATGTTCATTATGTATTCTTTTCATATAAACGAAATAAGAGAAGAATATAAGTACATACCACGATGAATGGAATAAATAATACGAAACGGGCCACCAACCAGGGTCAGTGAATTTTACTTTTGTTAATCTTGACACATTGGGTAATTCTGGTTATTTTTCTTTTCTTTCCTTCACATTAGGTTATTCACCATCAAATAATAAACGTAGTGACATTCGTTTTGGTGTTTATGCCATAATTGCTGTGCTATTCTCTGCCGTCATCCTGTTTGTTTGATCATATACTTTTCTTTTTCTCATTTCTTCTCTAGCAAGTGCTAATCATTTCACATCGGATAAATATGCTTCTGACAGTTTTTTTGTTCTCGTCATTATGCTATTATAGAAAAGAGAAAGTAGTTCTTAATCAGCTTTTTTTTTAAATAAAAATATTCATTTCATTCGATTCGTCCAAATAAGATATCAGAACACAAAACAACCTGTTTATTTAAATATAAAAGCACCTGACTCTTTCATATGAAAATGAAAGAAAAATTAAACAAAAAAAAAACAGTTCCACACCAAGACTGATCAAAAAACAAAATTGTACATAATTCAAAATAAAACATAAATATATATATAAATAAATAATTTAATTGTTTGTGTCACTGCAATGTTTATCACTAAAAGGCCCTGTTTATTGTTTCGATTTCTGTTCATTAAAATTATTATCTTCTAATGTAATGATATCATTATTTTCTGTATTACTTTGTTTATTAGGAGTATTAGAATGTACAACTCCGGATCGTGTTCGATTAAGTAAATTTAAAACAGTTGCATGTTCAAATAAACCAATAAAATCATGTATATATTCTTTACTTCGATCTTCCCAACGTTCCATAAATGTTTTTGATTCTTCTTTATATGTATGAAGTTTTAATTTAACTGTATTAATTCGTGATTGAAATTCAAGTTGATTTTTTTTAATAAAACTAACATTTAAATCTTGAGATGAATAACCACGAGCTAAATTTCGTCGTACATACGTATCATAATCACGAACAATACGACATATTATATCAGATGTCGAAACACCTTCAGTACGTTGAGTAGCAGCAAATATACCAAGATCCTTCAAAACAAAAGTTATCGATAATAAGTACTTATTGATATCATTTTGAAATTACACTGTTTTTTTAAATTTTTTCCTTAACGGAGACTTCTGGTAAACATGATTTTTCCGGGCGGTCATTTCGTATACTTGAATGATCGGATACAATTTCAAATGTCCAGATATGATTGTTTATAATTGTCAATTATAAAAAACGATAGCATGCATTATTCTTTCCAGCTATTTATAAGAGTTGTAATGATTGTTCTGAATTTATTTAGAAATCTCTGAGGAATCAGAGAATGTTCAAAATGATAAGAACAAGTTTACTGTGTTCAGAGAGTCATCATTATTATTTTATTAGATTTTCGACATCTGTCAGTGTATCCGAAACATAGAGACCATAAACATTCTTTAAAGCTTGACTATTTCAGCAACAAAAAAAGCTGTTAGCACAATCCCTGTGGGATTAAACTGTGAAACACGATGCAGCTGTTGTCATTAGTCCCACGAATATGTTTTCTTCGATATCTTCGAATTCATTAATAAATCATTGTTTATGAATTCCTCTGGAGCTGCAAAAAAGAAGCAGTTGACATATTTCCATGAGATTCTAGTGACATTTAATCGTACTTCATATAAAAACAGGTCTTTCTATTTCTGTAATGGATACTGGGTTTTCTCAGTCACGAAATGTGGGGAGGGGGGGGAGTGGGTTAGAGTCCGGCGGGTCCAATAAAATTGGAACCGAGAACCGAACCGGATCCGAAATTTTTCAGTTTCTCAGATCCGGATTTGGAACCGGATCCGTGAAATAAAAACGGATCCGACCGGAACCGGATCCGTTGGAACCGAAAATTTCTTTCATGACGACTAGAGTCATCTATGTTTAATCGTTTTTGAATCACTGTTGAACAAAAAAATTTTCATCCATTCCCGATATAGATTGTTAATTGTAAACAAACAGAAAGAAACAAATAATTTAGTTGCATACACTTGTAGAAAGAGTCAACAATAGTTTATTATTTTGTAATTTATTTTTTAGATTTTGTGTGAAGACATCACCGGTGTGTAAGAAAATTATTATTAATGCAATGGACGATTCTTCATTGACAAAAGAAAAAATTATACAGTTGATCAGGAATTATGATGCAAGTTTAACATTTGTAAAACCCAAAACATCATCATCTCGAGTTTGGTCTTCTTTCAGTTATGTCTTTATTAGTAATCGAAAAAAAGATTTTGTTTGTTGCGATAAATGCAAAGATGTTCTACATCATAAATCAGACTCTGGCACAAGTAATATGATCAAACACATCAAATCATGTCAAACAACCAGCAAAGATATTCCAAATGCTTCTCTTACTATTAAAGAATATCTTCGTCCTAAAACTGCTCAACCTATTTCAAGAATATTCAAAGAAAAAATTACAGATGCAACTGTTGAATTTGTTGCTGTAGATAATCGTGCATTTGAACTTGTATCTGGTGACGGGTTTATTAATTTAGCTCAAACAATATTCAATGTTGGTCAAGATTTATCTAAGACACCAGATGTTAATGTTTTGGATTTAATACCGAATCCAAGAACTGTAAGTAAATATTATATAAAAAACCTGTGAAAGAAATAAATAGAGAATTTCTTAGTTTACAAAAGAAAGCCGTTTTATTTCTTTTATTTACTACTAGGTCAGTCGGAACATCGATCGATTATACCATAACAAAAAGTCTCAGCTGATAAAATTATGTGAAAATATGAAATATTATACAATTGTAGTAGATTTCTGGACTTCCTCACACACCGGTAAGAATGTATTTTCTAACGAAGCTGTTTATATATTATAAAAAAAGCGACATGCTTGCAATAATATACTTAATACTATTATTATTAACACTATTTATTTATTTTTCAGGTGTCAGTTTTTGCGGTATTGCTGTTTTTTATTTAAATGATGAATTAAAATTACATGTCTTTATTTTGGGTTGTTTTCCCTATGATCGTGATAATCAAACAGCAAGTCAAATTCGTCAATTTGTTGACAGTAAATTATTGGAATTCAATTTAACCTTAGATAATAGTAAATTCATAGTATGTGATAATGAGAACAAGATGAAATCAGCTTTCAAGGATTCGTGCACTAGAATCGGATGTTCAATCCATTATATTAATAAGCAATTGGAACATTGTTTTACCACAGAGATTATTGATAAAGTTCCAGTTAAATGCGAAATTGTTCAACAAATGTTCGTTCATGTACGAAAAATCGTATCCCATACCAGAAGAACACATAAACAAACAAAATTATCTCGTAAACTTCAATCATATTGTGATACAAGGTTCAATGGTGCTTTTCTTACGATGGATGTGTTCTTATTGGTGTTCGACGAATTACCTGGTGTTTTAGAACGAGCTCTTATGAATGATTATGAATCAATAGATAAAGATTTACTTTCATGTATTTGCTTATTCCTTAAACCATTTGAGGAAGTAATTGAACAATTTAGTTCTGATACAAAACCAACAATATATAAAGTTTTACCGTTTAAACAATATTTATTGAACCACTGTAAAATTCATCCTGATGATCATGATGGAATTCAACAAGTTAAAACATTTCTGGGTATTTCTTTAACTTCAAAGATTCAGACATCCTCTAAATGTTTTGTACAATTAGGGACATCTAGTAAAATCAGAGAGCCATTTAAGTGTATGATAAAATTAAAAAAAGAGTGGGTGCTAATTACGAAACGATTTTTTATTATAAAAATGTCTATGAAACTCGAAATATATCTCGTAATAAAACGTTATGATTTTTTTTTTGAAAGATCTGATTTTTCTGTTTAGAAAAACGTATTCAAGACGTTTGGATTATACACGATATACATTACATCACCACATTTTTACATCCATCATTTAAAAATTTCGATAAATGTTCTGATTTTCGCGCAAAAGCTATTGATTTAACAAAAAATGAATTGATGAAGCGCCAACCATCATCATCTATTATCTGCTCAACAAACAATAAATCACCTGCTCGTATAGTTGAACTTGATCCTCAAACATCGTCGTCAAAAACTCTTCTTTCACAATGTTTTGATACACCAAAAAATGACTTAAAATTGCCAACAACACCTTATGATGAATTAGAAGAATATATTGCATTAAATGTTAGATTAAGTGAGAATGATGATATTTTATTATTTTGGTTAAACCATAAGATGAAATTTCCAACATTATTTAATATTGTTCAAGATTTTTATGCTATACCTGCATCAAACACCACTATCGAACGTGTTTTCTCGTCATCAAAAAATACAATTACAGATAAACGTACACGTCTTGGTACAGAGAAGATAAACAAGTTATTATTTTTACAAAAAAATCTGAATTTATTGAAACAAATTGCTAAACAACTAGTTAATGAAGCTGCTGTTACTGCAACAAAACGAAAGATGGTCCTTCAGCCATCCTGCACGAGCTCATATGACAATCAAGAAGAATTAATAACTACTACATCTACCAAGAAATTGAAGTTGAATGAAGAAGATGATATTATCTTTTGCGAGGATGATGAAGAAAATGAAGTCGAGTGTTTTTAGAATTTATTTATATGGTACTAATTGTATATGAACATGTCATATTATATGGATTTTCTACTTTTTTTCTTTTTTTGTATCTTTTGATAGAATTGCTTTTCAATAAATTAATAAGCATGAACAATGAAAAAAAAACATAGATATTTTTGAAAAAATCTGATACAAATTATTATGTAATATATTACCAGATCAACGGTTCCCAACGGTTCCAAACACATTCTAGGATCCGACCGTAGAACCGTTTTTTTCAACTTTGCTAACCAGAACCGGAACCGGATCCACGGTTCCGGTTCCGGATCCGGGTAATATCTGGAACCGCCGGACTCTAGAGTGGGTCCACAATCTCTACGCTATACACTTCAACACTCCTTTTAGATTGTGTTTCACAAAAGTATTCATTTATAGATGAATACTAGATTAACAACAAAGTAATAATTCCAATAGAAAATTCTTCTTGTTTTTATCTTCTCTAATTCCATTAGGAATAAATCTAGACAATTAAATCAAGATCAAGATCAAAAAATAATCTAAAATGATTTTTCATCGAGTTTTTATGTAAACACAATACGATTCATGCTATTGATAAGATTCTCATACAATAATCCATTTCTGAAAACATAGAACTAAATCTATTAAGTGATAAAAATCTCGACTCGAACAAATAACCAGAAAAAAATCCCATTCATTTTTTCAATCTTTTTTTAAGAACCTGCAGAAATTTGAAAACATTGGGTGCAAATTAGAATTTTGTATTCTTTCTGAATATGGATTCGAAATTTTTGTAGGACTTCTGGTTTAAGAGTTATGAGTCAAACTTTTAGAACATGCTAAAAATTACTCCAAGTCAAAGCGAAAATTATTTCGAATACAGACAATAAAATGGTATATTAATGACTAGTTAGCTCTAAGTCATTTGTTAATAGCAAGTGTTTTCTTAAGGAACACCGTGTCAATTTATATAATCTTCTCGATTTCCATGGGAAAAAAAAACTTGTAAAGTGAACTCGACTACTTCTGAAACTCTTAATTCTTATACTACTTTGTAGAGAACAATTTTGCCTTTAATTCTATGCAAAAAAATCGGTAATGTAGCGTATGTAGTAAAAGTGACTAAAGCAGTAAGAACTGTCAATTTTCTCTGTTCAAACTTAATCTTTACATCTCGAAAAGGTCAACTCATAATTCCTAAACTAAAAGAGTCCTAGAAAAATTTTAATCCCATACTTGGAAAGAACATCAAATTCTAATTCTAACCCAATGTTCTCAAACTTCTGCAGACTCTTTAAGAGCTTCTATGAGCCCATCGAGCATCATTCCAATACACGAGGCACTCGATAAAAAATTTTAAAAAAGTTTTTTGCTCATTCAACGCATCAATGTCTAAAACCACCAACCCAAAAATTTTAGGTTCTAATACCCTTCCTATGAAAAGTTAGCCAATACCGACTTTTAACACTAACATATCTTTTTGGGAAAAAACAAGAAAAAATATCCTATAAAAGATGTGCCAGCTTGCGTTTCAACAAATCATTGAAATTGGTCATGGTATCCATCAGAAGATAGAGAATTAAAAGCTGAACAAAATAAGCTATAATGATATAGTATAGTGTGTAGCAACTCAAATTTTATCGACCCAACATGAGTTAAAGGCGATCCTTTCCATCAGTCCAAGTACAACAATGTACATCTTGCTATGTTGTAGGATCAGAGATGCCCAAGCTGAATTTTATATATGTTGTGCAACTTCTTTTTCTCTACAAAATGGGAAAAAAATATTCAAGAAAAAAACTTATAACCGTTACAAAAAAGGGCTTACACCTCATCATTTTTTTAATGGTTTTTGATCGTTTTTCAATAGAAAATGAACATTTTTAGCGATTTTCATTGACATGATACCATGCTAAAGCAAAATATATACGATACTCGAAATCAGCGTGAAAAACTGTATCTAACCATATATATTTTACGGAATCTTTTTTGCTGTCCAAAACTGACCTGTGGTCCCCGACAGCTGTATTTTGAAAAAATTTCTTCACTGGCTACCCACAGGTCAGTTTTGGACAACAAAAAAATATTTTCCAAAAATATATATGATTAGGTGCAGTTTTTCACGCTCATTTCGAGTATCGTATCTGTAACGAAAATTAAGATTGGGTCGTATATATAATTCAATATATGTATATAATTGAGACTTGAAGAATGCACATCAAAAGCAACACTACACCGTGTTAATTTATTTGAAGAGATAAGACACGGCTATACAATGTATAAGGCATGAGAACACGGCATACAATCAATTTGAGTGAATAGGTGTCACTATAATGTTATGATCCTTGACCTAACCTAACTTCGTTACTTGTTCACCAACCTATTCGTTTAACAATCAACTGTAACAAGCTGTGGCCAGCTGAGACTGCACTGAGTCTGTACTGAACTGAACTCTGCCCTATGTGTCTCAGCGACATTCATATATATAGAGAGAAATAAATAGAAGAGACGAATCGGAGAAAATGGACAAAGTGAAAGAGAGGAAAAAGGAAGAGGAAAAAGGATAAAGAACGGATTACGCGATGCTCAAGCGAGAGCAAGGGGCGTGATACAAGAGGACCTCCGACGTCTTATGTAAACACTATTAGTCTCATCACGTTGGGATAATGTGCTTGTTAGCATAATATGACGTGATATCGGCTGGCGTAATCAGAAGAGACGACGTGCTCTTTTGGCACAGTATCTATTTTGCTTTAACATTGTATCATGTCAATGAATAGGGGTGTCAGTGTTCTCGTTCCTCCGGGTTCCACCCCCAGGAATGGGAACGCGTTTGAAAATTAGTTTGCACGTAGTATCCAGCATTCGACGATACTCAGATATGTCTACTCTCTTTGTTTATATCAAGCCACAATGGGTTCCCGGGTTCCTAGGAACGGGAACCCACTCTAAGCTCTGCCTTCTCAAGTAAGGAAGCTTGCATCGTGCATCCATCAGTGGGTAGATTCCAGAAAAACGAAACTTCCATACTAAACGTTCCAATTCCAGAAACTACGACCATAAAGAATGTAACCCTCTGAACTTAATCATGTAGTGATATATATGTTGAGATATCTTTTATGCCTTGTCGTTTTCTTCTAAAAACATCACAACTAGTTGATAGAAAGAAAGACTATGTTGATGATGAAACACTCAAGCAATATCATATTGTTCTATTAGAAAATGAGAATAATTAGAAGTTAAATTACTTGCCTGAACACAAACCAAACAAAATTTCTTTTTATGTTGGTAGATATTTTGACGGTCTTAATGTCCCTAACGTTGCTCTATTCTCGAGTAATATTTTATTCTTTCATTAGTGTTGCTTAATATTTTTCGTTGAGTATCTTCACCTGACCAAGCATAAGATTTTGCATACTTTTCACATTTCAAAGCTGTAGAAATACGGATCTGTATTATGAATTTATAAAATTTGACTAGATTCGTCCCATATGTACATATGCCACAAGACGATTTAGAGGAAAAAAAAGAAATTTCATCACACAAGTGTTGGTGCACAATGAAAAATAAGATATGAAATAAAAATAAGTGAATGAACAATTATTATTAGTCACATTGAGGAATCGTTATTCAACTATCGTTAGTTACTATAAGAAACAAACATTTTCGAAGGAAATCGAAAATTCGATGATGTTTAGTGCTCATGCATGCTAATGTAATTCTTATTGACTCAAAATAAAACTTTTGAACTTCTTATTTATTATCATAGATTATATCTGGAAAAGTTCATCTAGTTTTGCGGAAATTGAATCATTTTTTCAGTAAAAAATATAATATTCTTTTCGAATTTTCAATTGTAACATCAATCGATAACAAAGCGACTGATAAAAATATTCACTTTTAACGACCTGCTCTTCGCATCTGTATATCATGAAAAATAAATCTATGCACGAGATACTGGAGGAAGTATCGAATCCATCTGAACAATTCAACAGATGGGTCGATGCTGTTTGAGCATCAAGTTTTAAAATCATTCAGAAACTAATGGCTTAACAAAGAGTATGTTGTAAGAAGTGTGTATCGATTCAAAGGACTAGTACCATTCGTTCCGAGCATTGAGCAATGTCTAAGGTGGCTAGCAAAACAACATTACGGATTCTATTGCTCTGATACCCAAATATGAACTTGATATATTTTCTAAGTTTCCACAGACATTCCTATAAATGAAAAAAAAGACCTATAAGAGTCTACTATTCTGCTTAGTCTCATCCTCTCACTCTTCGTAACTTTTCATCTAAACCAGTGCCTCTGTTTGTATCTGTCATACTATTAAGTCCGATTGTGTACTTGATTTTCACGTTTACTTTCTTTTCGGTCTTGTCAACCTCAGTACATCCCAACATTATATCTCATCGTGACATTTAGTTTATAGAGTTTGTAATTTGCTTCCAGCTGTTTATCACGCCCACCCATTTTCCTTTCTTTGGTATCTGTATCTGTACCTTCTTATAGTTTTTTGTCGCTCGTTCTCCCTCAGTACCTTTGCTCCTCTCGTTTGGTCTTGCTTTCATTTTCTTTTCAGTTTTTGTCCTTGTCTTTCTCTTTTTCTTCCTTCTCTTCTTTTTACTTCTGTTTTCCTTCCCTGTTCATCTTTATATATTTTCTTCTAGTATCTTTTGTACACTTATGAATGTTGTCTTAAGAGGCCTACGGGCATTAATCCTTTACCCCCAACAAAGCATAAAATAAAGAAAAAGAAAAAAAATATTCACTTTTCAAGAAAAATATATCATGACAAAATGATTAATGAAATGTTATTTTACTCAAATAAGAAGCATCAAATTGTTATTAGTGAATCTATGTTTTTCAAGAACTTTATCCATCATTCAGTGGCAGCCAATATTATCTCTTTCTTTTCAAAATTGTACTGATTTCGTTTGAGCACTTGTAAATGACAATTAGCAAGATATAAGGACAAGAAGGCAAAAGAATTCTTGGAAAACTTCAAAAGCACCTTTCAAGAAAAGAAACTTAAGCAGTATGCGATGACTGAAATTAAACTCGCTGAAAACGCCTCCGTTCGGTTCAATAAGCGATATCATGAGAATGATACCGAGAATTTCTGTATCAATTTCATATATTCTGTCGTAGCCTGAATCAAACGAAGTTATTAAAAAGATATCAGGGTATTATCTTAACAGTGCCGTTACTTCTCAGTGGATCAAATGGCTCTCAAGGAGGATTGCAACAACGAATCTTACGAGAAATATGGTACTGATTTAGTTACTGAAGTAGCAAGCCCCAGAAACATGTTATTCTAAGCAGGATAACCCGCCTGAGTTCTGAGTTCTAGGGTACGGTAAATCATTTGAAAATTGGTTTGCACGCATTTTTGATTATCTGGAGATATTAACATATATTTATTCTTTTCATTTGTATAACGTCACGACAGGTTCCTGGGTTCCCAGGAACGAGTTCCCCGTTCTCAGATACGGGAACCCGAAACTGACACCCATATCAATGAAAATCGCTAAAAATGTTCATTTTCTATTGAAAAACGATCAAAAACCATTTAAAGAAATGAGGAAGTGTAAGTCCTTTTTTGTAACGGTTATAAGTTTTTTTCTTGAATATTTTTTTCCCATTTTGTAGAGAAAAAGAAGTTGCCCAACATATATAAAATTCAGCTTGAATACCTCTGATCCTAAAACACGGCAAGAGGTTGGTGGTTTTAGACATTGATGCGTTGATTGAGCAAAAATTTTTTTTTAAAATTTTTATCGAGTACTTCAGGTGCTCGGTGGCCTCATGGACACTCTCTTAAAAAGACTGAAAAATGAAATGAACATTGTATCTAATTACTTTTTGGTCACAGTGTTAGTACACAAAATTTTCGATAGTGAATATTCATAATATTGGATAAGATTTCTTTTCTATAACTTACTTTAACATGTTCATAAACATCATCACTAGCTTCAGTTACATATGGAAGTCCATCATGTGCAACAAAATCAACTTTATTTTGTATTAAAAGTTCATCATCAATTGCCCAGGGTGGATCTGTTACAACTTCATCAACATAACGACAATGGCGAACACTTTCATAACGTTCAGCTTCATCCATTACAGTTTTACCTTTTTCTCTATGTGTTACTTCATCGTTAACAACACCAACAAGTAAATAAACATTTTTAAATAAATTTTTTGCTTGCATTAACTGTCGAGCATGACCAGCATGAAATAAATCATAAATACCTAAATTTTAAAAATTAACTGAATTAAAAAACAAAGAAAGAAAACAGATTTTGATTTTCTTTACCATCTGCATAAACACGAATTTTTCTTGGTGCTGTACCATTTTTAGCCATATCGAATGTAATTTTTATTGAATAATCACAATTTTCACGTTCTTTTTTAGCTTTTTCTTCATAACAGAAAGGTGCTGGACCTAAATGAAGATCAAGATTAACAGAACTTGTTCCACTAAATTGCATTGAATGTTTAATAACTGTTCCATTATTAGCTTTATTTTGTGATTCTATTAATATGTCTTCAGATGACAAGTAATCATGATTATTTTCTTTTAATAGTAGATTATTCGTATTAATATTAGTAGAATTTTCAGCTGATGCATCATGCCACTCATCAATAAATGTATTGCCGCCAGGTGTAACTAGTGTTGACTTATCATCCATTTAGTCTCTAATGTTAGACACGAATACTTAAAACAAAATCTGAAATATAAAACATATTAATGTTTGATTTCAAATTACAAAAAGTCTAAAAGTTTTTTTTCCGAAACTAAATCAAAAAGAAAGAAAAGTTTTCTATATAATACCATCTTAATTATGTATAGTTTACTTGATACCGTTGTATGTTTTTTGTTCGCAGACATTGAACTAATAACGCCTTCTAGCATCTTATTTCTGCTTGATACGCCTACTAATCATAAAACTAACTAAGATATAATTAATAAGATCTTTTAATTGATAGAACAAAAAAAAAAGAAAAGCCAAGCTACTGAATTGTTAATCCAATTAGTAACGAACCTATTTGGACCTACTTATCTGTATATGTAAAGGAATTTTCAGATTTTATGATGTAATAAAAAAAGAGAATCATGTATTTAACACATGATCTTGAAGTGAAAAAGAGGCAAAAAGGAAATATCACGTATTGGTTGATTGATTATTATTATGTGAAAATTTTAATAACAAGAAGATTAGATGTAAATCATTGTCTGTACGAAAAGAATTGTCATATATGTGTCTTTCTAACTTGTCAACATTCATTGTTAATGATGACTCATTCGACTTGCCTTTTGTTCTACTTCTTTCTCTTCTTTCGTCAGAATGACAAGAATAGGAGGGAGTTGAATACAGTTTCGATTGAATGCTGATTTGTCCGTAAAGACTTATTTATTGATTCATCCTTTAGTTCAATATGACACTTCCGTTTGTTGATCAGCATGCGCATACAAGAAACATGAACGTGATATCTATATTCCAATTTTCCAGATTTTCTTTTCTTTTTTCCTTATGAAATTCAACATTTACAAAATGCCAATAGCAAACAACAATCACAACTCTTCACCACCTAAAACAGATGGTGCAAAACTTCTGCATGAATTTTGTTTTCAGTATAGCATGACAACACATCGTCGTGGAGGCTCGATAGTTTTCTTGTTCGAAAGAGTAAAGTGTCTACTACAAAACTGTCGGAAAATATTTGATTTAAAATTCTTACTGAACGCTGAAAAGTTTTAAGAACATGTTGAGTAGGGAAAAGTGCTTTGAAATTTCACACAAAATTAGTGATGAGATGTGCATTTGATCGATTTGTCTTGCATTCTGCTTTGAAAACTCTTAGGATTAGCTTACGTTTGAATGTAGCCCATGCGATGCGAATTTTCTAATGATATAAAACTATTCCAGTTACAAAAATCATAGGTTCCATACGAAACAGTTTGATTTTTCCCTCTACAACGCACAAGGAAGTCTTTCTTATAATATCTAACAGAAAACCTCTATTCTGTTTTATATAATGTGTTTGTGTAGAAGACTTACTGGACTCTAACTGAACATAAAATATGGGGTTTTGTTAACTTTGATTGCTAGAAAAAACTCTTATTCTTCAAAATCACTTATTAGTTATGAATAGTTTTCGCTAGTAAACAACGCTAGAAAAATGTTAATTTCGAATTCAACCAATGAATTGAAAATTTTATTTGTACCGATTCATCTGAATAATGTCGAAAGTAAAAGTATCGAAAGTAAAATGTCGAAAAAATAAAATGTCGAAATTAAAATATCCAAAATAAAGATGTCAAAAAGGAAAAACATCGAAAAGCAAAGATGCCGAAAAACAAAATGTCCAAAGTAGTACCGCCAAAAACAAACATTTTTAAAGTAGAAAACTGCGGAAGTTCCATGCTCTGAAAAAAATAAAGAAGGTTTGCAGAATCTTTTAGAGGCCTAAAAGATTCTGCAAACCTCCTTTATTTTTTTTCAGAGTACTGATGTAGAATGAATTAAGAAAACATATGAAGCGAGATGGTACTATGTATACGTCTGACAGAAGTTCATTTTTCAGTTCCACATTGATTACTTCATTATTCGGTCGATATTGTCTTCGTTAAGATTTTTTGTATAGTTGCTCTAGTTTTAAACCTTAATAAATTCTTCATTATAATACTACAAAAAAAATTCTCTCTACTAGTCTCCTACACTAATTTTGACATTCAGGCTAACCTTTGTACCTTCTTACAATGTCCTATGAAAATTTTCTTCTAAATTCCAGAACCTTGCAGAGAACTTTTCTAATCAAACATATTCGTCAACCTTTTTAGTCTTTTGTAAGTAATATGAATCAAATATTTTTATACAGCTTTGTAATAGAAACTTTGGTCTTTCTAACAAGAAAACTATCGAACCTTCACGATGATTTGTTTTGATGCTATACTAAAAGCAAAATTAATGCAAATTTTGTGCACAATTTGCTACTTACTTGAAGTGCACTTTTATACGACTCGACACATGTTTATATACCATCCTTTGTTTGAAAAAAAAGTCAGCAATCTGTTGCCAATAACCGTTTAAAAACATTAAGTGGAACTGATGCCATTTCTTTTCAGTCATAAGCGTTTTTTCTTCTTAAGATATTATAAAGATTCTTCAGCGAAACGAAAAATAGCAAAGACGGGAAACCAAAAAGAAGACAAAATTGATGAACATTCTAAGAAAAATATAAAAAGGACAGGAAAAGAAAAAAGGAATGTGCTTCGTGGAGATGTCGACGGCAGTAGAATGTAGCATGAACCAACTAGATCCTTTGAGTTAGTCAAGAACAGAAGAAAAAAAATAAGCCTCGACATGTCATCATCATTATCAGACGTAGAAGAACAAACAAATTCATCGAATGCTTGTTTTTATCTTATTCCTTCGAAAGATGATGATGAACAATTACAATGTAATTCAAATGCTGAATCGAGTTTTTATTGTATTAAAGGGTATGAGTGTCTGTGTGTAGGTGGGTGTGAGTGTGGGTGTGTGGGTGTGGGTGAGAGCGGGTGGATCTGACTGCATAAGAGTGCACCCACACCCAGATAAGTGTCATTACTACTTCAGTTATTTTCAATGTTATTCCCATTCCAGTAGAACGAATCATGAGTAAAACCAAGCCAGCTACAAAACTGTCTTGTTCCCATACAACAGATGTAACAGATTTTGAATTGTAGTAACAATCGTAAGTGTTGTTGATCTATAATGAAATGTACAAAAGTCAATGAAATTATAACATTTATATATAAGAATTCTTTCAATCATTTAATGTGGGAGACTTGATATCGCTTATTATGAATGCCACTCAAAAATGAAACTGAGATATACATACTCGAAAATGTACTTTTTCAGCTAAAAATGAATACATAAAATACGCAATCAATAAATAGAATAAGATTTAGAACGTAACACGATTCCATGAACACTGAGACATCACTATGATTGAGTAAATTACTAATGATATTTGTGTCAATTCTAGAGTACTTCGATTGAAGTATCCGAGGATCCTCGTGTGAGAAACGTATAGTATAACTGATTTTTTACGAAACTCTGAATTTAACAAAAATCACAATATCTCATTTGAAACAGAAACCAAAAAACAAGATGTGAGCATTCTTGAATGCGAAGGATATGGGGATTTTTAGTAGAGAATATAGGCGTACATATAGATAAATGATTCTAATGACATGATGCATCAAAATCAATAGCACAAATGGTGTCATTGCTCAGGAATGTGTTTATGACAATTAATATTTTTAGCCATCTAAAGAAGTTCATTAACGTATTGTTGTTAAAGAATTTACAATACTTTTCCACGCATCATAGCATACATCTCTATATCGTTTTACGATAAGCACAGTTCTTTTGCTGAGTTTCTTATGATCTAGTCATTGGCATAACATACCATTTGCAGTTGGGGAGAAAGTATAAAATTGGGAAATAATATCTAGACAAAAAGAATTCATTCTTATTCAGGACACTTAGTTACCAAAACGAATTTACGCATCATTGCATACGTTCTTATCAAAAGGTATTCCTGTGTTTTTAATGACTTTTTCAGCAGAAACTAGAGGCCATTATCTAGAATAACAAGCACATATTCGTCTTAGAAGTTAATCTTTGTCAGCTCAATCCATAGATAAGTCTATATGAATGACCATCACTACATAAGGGGCGAAATCAGTGGACGAAAGTCTGGTGTTTAATTTAACCTACTCTGGCACTCATTCACTCTTATCACTTCAACATATTTCATAACTAATCATACTCTACAAATAACTGTTCATGATACCTTGTTTGCTGTAAATGAAGAAGACTACTACAATCTTTGTGTTTATTTACATAGTTACCTGAACATTTCGTCGATCTGAACTGGATGACGTTGGAATAATACTAGTAATACGAGTCTCATTAAAAATCGAATAGTTCACCAAAAAGTTCTCATCATAACAAGTATAAGTTGTGCAATGAGTCGTACATCCGTGAACGTGTGGTTGATTAATGAGCCTTATTCCCAATCGCTTGTTGGCCCCCCAACAAGCAAAAAGAACGGGACATATGATAATTTATTTGTTACTAAGGTCAGTCTCTTTTCTTTTATCTATTTTTTGTCTTTTTCAATCGTTTCGTTGAAAATTTTCAACGTAAAGATTGAAGAAGAAAAAGATAGATGAAAGGAAAGAGACCGATCTTAGCAACAAACAAGTTATCATATGGCCCCTTCTTTTTGCTTATTGTGGGCCAACAACCGAATTGGGAATAAGGCTCATTGAAGAATGATCGTTATCAGTGCAATCAGTAGAACATGATTTACACGTATGAGTGGTATAATTAGAATCTAATACAAGACATCTTGTCTTGATATCGTATGTATTTCGTTGGTTCTGAGCAGAGACATAACTCGAAATACCAATTCCTAAGAACATCGCAAAGAATCCCAAACAAACGAAAGCGCCACCCAGGCAAATAATTTGGCCCGTCATGATTTTCTGAAAAAATCCTTTCAATAAAGCTTTTAATCGAAAATCATCAAATAATAGTACACATGCAAAAGATGGAACGGTGTCGTCGAAATAATGATAGCCGTACATTGATTTTAGGCACTATATTATGGAAATTGTTGCTATTATTCTGGA